TTCCCTGTCAAGTGCAGCAGAAGGGGCTTCCCATTGAAATTTCTGTAGCTTTTGATTGTATCTGTTTGGAAATGATTGATTGCAAAATGTGGTTCAGTGGTACCTTAAAAGAAAAACAAAATCAATGGTGGCAGTTCTGTGTGTTGGCTCATCTGAGAAGGCATTGGTCGACTTTCCAGTCAGTCAGCAGTGTAGATGGAGAAGGAAAAGGTTATCAAAACGAGTGGAATGTGAAATAATATTACCGAACAGAGAGAACAGTGTTTTCCAAGTGCATGTGTTAAACTGGGTTCATCCATGTCAGGCTGTGAATAATGCCCTTTCTTTGCCTCCCTCTGCCCGTGTGACCGGGACGCTCTTGCGTAACTCCCAGTGCAGAATGGGATATTGTTCCACCACGCCAGGCTCTTGGGGCAGCTCTCCCTGGCTTGCTCCAGGGAGATGCAGAAACTGTTCAGCTTCAAATCCAGCAAGATGATGACTTTTATCTCCTTCTGTTGCAGTGATTCTGATTTCCCTCATCCCTTACGGCTTGGGTGCTGCACTTTTGTTCCTCAAAGCTCCCCAAAATCTTTCTGGCCAGGAAAGCAGACAGTTTGGCTGTGTTCAGAGCTAATGCCATTCACTTTGGTGAAACAAGGTGCTCCTCAAGCAACAAGATTGTTTGCCCTAATTTATTTTTTTTTTCATCTTAAGATTGACACTTTGGCCCCTCTAGCTTGCACCTGAGAATATGAGCAGACTCTAGAGCTATTTTTTGCATCATGGATTATAGAAAAATAGGATTAAAATTCTGCAGTGATCACAATGAGACATGCAATCAAAAGCATATAGATCTGTGTTCTTTAATGCACCACCTGGATGAGGCTCCAAAATGCTCGCGTGTCTCAGTCTTTGTTGCTGTAGCCTTTGAGAACTGCAGCAAGAATTTCTGTGACAGAGCTGCCATCTTCCAGCACTTAACATGGCCTAGCCTAAGAGATAACTCTTGGTATTGCAGTTTGCTAGGATCAGGTAACCAGAATACTGGCAGAGAAGCAAAATAAGAGTTACTTTCCTTTTTGTTTCTCCAAGACTGTTTTGCAAAGGGCCTCGGGTCTGTGCTTAGAGGCAGGACTGGATGTGCAGTATGGGTATGTTGCAGCTGGGTCAAATCTCCTCTGTAGGACCAGCTCAGGTTTGATGCAGAGGGCACATGATTTCTGGGCCACTTCTGTGGCCAGTATGGGCTCAATCATCTTTGCAGCTGGCCAGTCTGGTAGTGATCTCAGAGAGAGCAGGGTGTGGAGCTTGGTTTCCTCCCATCTCCTTCTTTGGTGGTAGGAACATGGAGCAAAAGGCTGTGTTCAGTCTTTGCAGTGGTCATGGCCTTTATGCAGGAGTCAAAGGAGGGTGGATCAGGACCTCTGAGCTCCCTTCCTGTGTTTGCACTGAGCCTCTAAATGCCCAGCAGCCGACGTTTGCAGAGAGATGTGCAAGTGTTGAACACAAAGTGCAGTTTGGCACAAAGATTTTGTCAGGTCAGTTGAGCAAAGTCAGGGGAAGAAGCTGACTGTGCTGCTGAGAAGCTGCACTGGGAAAATATCCTTATAGACTAAATAAATGGTGCAGCATGTTGCTGCCAACACCAGGAAGCCTTGTAGGTATCACTGTTAGCTTTGGTTTCGTTTGGATCGCAGTGGGATGTGTGCTTTAAACAGTTCTCTTTCAAAAACCACAGTGGAGCTGCTTCAGTGTTTTTGACCATTTGGGGAAATGGTCTCTGTCACCAGCACAGAGCTGCTGGACTTATAAGGAAGCACTCTGTTGTTTGCTCCTTCTCTTTAGAGCTGCAATCACTAAAAAGCTGACAACTTTATGGGATAATGTGGTGCACCCAGTGGTGCCTTTCCAGACTTCTTGCAAGAAATAAAAAAAATCATCTGGCTTTTCTGAAGTTTTATTTTCAAAGTAGACTTGTCAGAATCTGTTTAAAGAGGAAGTGGGTGAGGCCAACCATGGGAAGGTCTTTGAGGCTTTGCCTCTTGATTTGCAGAGCAGTTAAGGGGGGGACACAGTGGTTGGAGGTACTCAGTGTCAGGCAGGATCTGTCCCTTTGCTGAAGAGCAGCACAGTCATGTGTTGGTGTCTGAGGTAGTAATTCTGCAAGGAAACAACTTGTGGGTGCCTTCCTGAACTACTTAATGGACCTCATATTTCAGGAGATGCTGACTGATCTGCTAGTGGGACTTGGATCCCTTCCTCCTCCTGCCCATCTCAGGGCACCTGCTGTCATAATGAAATTCTCAGCATTTAGGAAAACGTAGTGCCATGTGAAGGTGATGTTTCAAGCACTGTTTGTGTCATTTATATGGTGAATTCCTCCTGCAGTAAGTAGTTCCAGAGGCTTTGCTTTTCTTGTGTTCTGCTGTGAATTTATAGAAGTGCAGCAGCAGTGTCTGGGTGAGACATGCAGGCAAGATGTGCAAGGCTGAGTCTTGAACATAGTGCAACAGGGACAGGCCTGTGCATTTCCTATTTTACAGATATTATATAAGATTTTCCCATGTTCTCTGCATGGTGGTGAGTTTTACAGACTTGGATTAGGCAGCTGCTTTTATTTTACTCCACAGATGGAGCTGGCTCAACCTTTCTGTGTCTTTACTTGTGACGTATTTCCCATCAACTCAAGTGCAGTATTTTCTTGGTATTGTGATTTAAGGCCATTAGATACACACTTAACATTATTTCTCTGGGTTATGCAGACCTTAATCTCCTTCCTGTACTGCTTCCTTCCTAATAGATGATGTAGTGTGTGAACGAAGGG